AGTATCTGTTGGTATCTGTATTATCAAAACACCAGGATATCCCTGTTTTGAATAACAAAGTATGTTAACACATAGGTTAAGGCGAACTGAAACATGTTGATATCAGTTGACTGCTACTGCTGTTGCTTCTACAAGTACAGCCACTTCCTGATATTTGTAAAATAATAATTATTATAAGTTAATAATCATAGCAGTTACTATTTGCCAGGCACTGTTCTAAGTGTTTTACATGATTTAACTAATTTAATCCTCACATTTACTCAATAATATTATCACTTCCAGTTTGTAGATGATGAAATGGAGAAATAGAAACAGTAGTCTGACCAATGTCATGGGGCAGGTGAGTTGGTGGAGGTAAGGTAGGAACCGTAGCAGTCTAGCTCTAGGATCTCTGCTCCTCACTTTTACAATATAGCTCCTTTTCTTTTCTTTTCTTGTCTTTTCTTTTTTTTTTCTTTTCTTTTCTTTTCTTTTTTTCTCTTTTTTCTTTTCTTTCTTTCTTTTCTTTTCTTTCTTTCTTTCTTTCTTTCTTTCTTTCTTTCTTTCTTTCTTTCAGAGAGAGAGACAGCAAGCAGGGGAGAGGGGCAGAGGGAAAGAGAGAGAAGACAGTCTTAAGCAGGCCCCATGCCCAGCTGCAGAGCCCGACACAGGGCTCATTCCCACGACCCTGGGGTCATGACCTGACCTGAAATCAAGAGTCAGGTGCTCAACCCACTGAACCATCCAGGCGCCCCTATAACTCCTTTCAAGAGCACTGATTTTAGATATTTTTTCCTTTTTAAGTTAAGCTAATTTAAATAAAGCCATTAATGACCTATGCAACTAATTGAAAAATGTTCTCGGTTCTAAACAATTAAATCAATACTGAAAATCAATATTATATTTATGAAAACCGAGGAGGTACTATTATTTACACCTTATAAGTGCCAAATAACTTTCTTGTGGCTCCCTCTCTCCCCCAGTACCCATTCTCATGTCTTTGCTTTGGAATACCAACTTAAAATTTTTAGCAAATGAGTCAGTAATGAAGCACATGTGTATGAGCTGTGTGTTGACACACAGAAAAAATAAGTATGTTTTAGCAATGGCACTTTCACCAAAAAAAGCACTGTTTGAAAATAGCGTGCATGTGTGTTTGCATACACATAGGCTCTCTTCAACCCATGTTTCTTTCTTGTGATATAGCTGTTACCTTACGTGAAACTATCAATCCAATCCGTTCTACTTGTACGTTTAGAGTTTTGCATTCTCATGTTATTATGGGGTTTATCAAATTCATATATGAATGCATCTAACACTTGGTACATGATATATAGAATTAAATCCCAGTGCCAGTCTCGACCTGAATAACAATATTAACATGCCAATTTTACCATTAGTATTAGACATTTAATTTCTTGGTGAGTACTGTTAAATGTTAATCGTTATTTTTATCCACAAAGAACTTTAAAAATTGTAGTAGAAAGAACCTGACTGCTTATGAGATTAAAGAATAATTTAAATGTTTGGAGTCATATAAGAAACCTGAAGACCGATTTAGCTGAGATACTGTGTGTCTTATTCAGTGGCTTGATGTGCTTCAATCATATTTGGGAGATTTTACATATTTTAATATATAATACTTGCCAATATCTCTTTGCTAGAATATTTGGATACAAATATTGATGAAGTTAACATACAGTGTTCTCAACCTGACCAACCTTTATTAGGACTTCTTTGCATTAAATTACTGATTGGTATTAGATCATTCCTGTTCTTATGTTTATTTCTTACACTTAAGTTATCTACTTTATGATTTGGTTTTATATAAAAGTATGTACACAATGTCCATGCAGTAAGCATTTGCTCAAGGCACAGACCTGGAAAGAGTTACAAAGTCTTCAAGCAACCTGGATAGTAGGGAGATCACCATGTGCAAAAAAGATATGCAGACTCAATCTATTTGCTTCATGTTCCTTATTGGAGACTTTACTGCGTATTGGCCCCGTACCTAGCTCTCTGCCCTGACTCAGGCCGGCGGACAATAGAGACACAAATCAGAATACAGAGTATAATGCATGCTGTGTTGCGATGGTAAACTGTACCTATATGAGTTGCATAATGAAGGATGTTTAGGATTCTCAGTGTGAAAAGAGAGAAAAAGTTATCCCAGACAGACGTCACTACATAGAAAGGTAGAAAGAGGTTTACTTCTTTAGTAACCTGAATGGATCTTGGGAAGTAGGGGGACAGGGTATCCTCCCTAAGTAGGCCTGAATCAGATTCTTTCCATATAAGCGTTTCATGCCCAGAGCATGTAGAGAAAACATCTGTGCTCTGGAAAGATTTATCTTTAGGAGCAAGAAGGAAAGCATTTAGACAGCGAGAGGGAAAGAAATTTGGAAACAAAAGAGACAGCCTCCTGATTGATTAGAGGAGACTGAGAAAAGAGCAGTGGTGGATATTACCTAGGTATTAGCTTGGGCATTAGAAGGAGGTTAAGACTTTTGGCTGAAATAAGGCATCAGAGGAATTGGTACAGATCTGGGGTAAGAAAATTGTAATTTTTTATTACATGTAAAATTAGAAATAATGACAGGGTATCTTGGAAGAGATGTGACAGCTCTTAGCCCATTATATAGTATTTTTTTTTTTAATCATGGATGTCCTTCCTATAGACTGTAAACTCAACAAGGGCCTTTTGCCTTGTTTATCTTTTCAGCCACACTTTTTCTTTATATCTCATAACATGTTGTGAAAGCTGAAAAATATTATAAGATGAATGAATAAGGATGGAATGAGTAAATAAATGTAACTAGTAGTTGGAACATAAGAAAAAATATATATTTAATGGGCAAAGGCCTAAGAAACATATAAAGAATTCAGAGATATCTTTCAGCACAAAAATTTAATACTCATCCATAAAAACCCTATCCTTTGGAAGATGCAATGCTTCACTGAGAAAAAATTTACTAGATCCAACATATGAATAACTTAAAATGGAAATTTATATCAGTAAATTTAATTTTCTTTTCAATTGTTAACTTCATGTTTTAATTTTATTGATTATTAATTTTAAACAATATATCCTCATTGACAATACATTTTATCCTGATAATAGGTAACACCGTTTTGTGAAATTTTATCCCCTTATCCATTTCAAAATTATTTCTCTTCCCAGAGTGAGAACTTAAATATTTTTCTTAGCAAAATGTAAATGTAACCACTTCCCACATCTGGTAAATTTACTCATATTTAATAATTATATATTGTTTATTCTGTTAGTACTTTCAGTGAGATAAGTAAGCATAAATACCTGCCTTAGGAATATTATAATTTTTGCTGAGAGTATAATTAATGAAATATCCATATGTAAAAGCCACTTATCATAATAAACCCACCATTAATGCTTAATATTTCCATGTTAAATCTATATCTATGCCTTATAATATGTAATAAAAATTAATAACTTTTCATTAAAAATTACAAAGTTTCCCTATCCATTTATTCATTAAATATCTTTTATATTCCAGGGTTTGTAGCAGGTACCAGGATTATACAGATGCCCTGCCCTTGAGTGTTTTACAGGCTAGTGAAATGTGTCTCAAAAAAACTGGTTTAGGAATGTTCTGGGAATAGTATTTAAAAATAGAAGATCTCCATTCTCAACTCTACAGAGTTTGATCCCTAAGGGCCATATCACCTCTTAGGAGTTTGGAAACTTTAATAAAGGGAAAGAGAGATTTCTGAAGTAACTCCACGATGCATTTTAGACTAGGATGGAATTTGTGAAGTCTGATAATTGCAATGTCTACATTATTACTAGGAAAAAAAAGAGAGAGAGAGGGAAACTTTTTTCAGTGCTTACTGGAAAATTGTCATCTTTCTTAAAAAGCAAAATTCATGATTTCATTGTTGCATGAGGTCATTATTATAAGCACTGATTAGCTGATTTATCCATGTAACATGTAAACTATTCTTTCATTTTCCCCAAATGGACATCTTTTGATAGTCATCTCTACAGTCAATTATTTTCCATTTAAAGAGTATAGAAATTATAAAGTATTTGGTGAAATACAATGAAAATTGATTCTTTTCTCATTTCTACTTGCTGAAGCATGTAGCACCGTGAACTCTGCATTAGCTTTGCAATTGATAAATTAAATGTGTTAATGAATGGTAAAGGCATTTTTTGAGTCACTAAAGAAACACTTCTCAAAATCATGATAATCTTTCTTTTTAGGTAAGAAGCAAGACTACATAGAAAACAGGACAATGGTAAAAAGAGACTTAGAAAAGTTACACAACTGTATCTTGTATAAGTGTTAAAAAATTAGTAAATCAAAAAGCATGTCATTTTCCTAAGATAACGATGTTAAACCTTATTTGTGTGATATTAAACCTCATATCCAGAAAAAAAAATTAATCATTGAATTTAGTTATTACTAATTTAAAGCAAATGGATGTTGCTTAGAAATTGGGGTAATGAGCAAAGTAAAAAGAAGAAAAATTGGAAAATGCAAGTGTTATTTAAACAGTTTACTTCTATGTAAGCTAGAAGAGAGAATAGCATATACCTTCTTGAATCCTGAAATTTAAGGTTATTTAATAGATTTTAAAAATTGTTGAATGTTCAAGTTGGAAGACACCTTAGTGAAAATTTATTTTTTAAAGTCTCATTCTATGAATGAGACTAGGGATTAATGACTTGCCCAAGATCACAGATCTTGTTAAAAACAGATTCTAGTTAGAAGCTTAAGAGGACTTCAGTAAGCTCAAAGTAAATTAGAGAGACAACGAATATCTAAGAGAGCTGAGTTCAAAACGAACGATTCTTGATCATTCAGGGGAAAAAATAATGCTTTCTACTTGGGTTCAAACTGCATGAAAATTGACAATTTTCTTCTTTAGGTTTTCCCATTTTCATCATCACTGTCATTGGTTAACTTCCCAACTGACTTCCTTTTGAAATGAATGATTAGAGTTGTTGGTAACTAACCGGAAAACCCTGCTTTTTGCAGCTGGATGAAGAAGCCTAGATGTGGCGTACCTGACCAGACAAGAGGTAGCTCCAAATTTAATATTCGTCGAAAGCGATATGCATTAACAGGACAGAAGTGGCAGCACAAACACATCACTTACAGGTATGAGAACTAATGAGGAATTACTGTTTTTTCCATTTTTTCACAACCATTTATTTTGACATTTTGTTGGCCATCTTATGCACATTGACCACATGGTAACATATAGGAATATGATGTTGACATAGGGAACTGAGACCTGCAATCAAGAAGAGAATAAATTGACCATTTGCAGTCCTTGTAAACATTTCTTAAATTCTAGATCTTTTTTGTAAACTATATCTTCAAGCTTCTTGAAAGTACCAAATCCTGAGCGATTCTGAGATGAATATTTTACACATTGACATTCTTTAATAAGGATTCATAATCTAAAAAGTAATCAAATAATAAAGTTTACAAATAATTGTCTTTGAAGCAAAATGCCTTTGACTCTATTAATTACCTTTTAGTATCAGTCCAAACATTTTACTTTCTATCTTTTTGGGAACAGTGGAGTTGGATCATCGTTTCTTGTTTTGTCTCTACTGAAGGACGCCGAAGGGATGCCAGTGTCTTCCATCCTGGAGTGACCACTGCTGCTAACGGAGATGTTTCTAGTTATTCATTAATTCATTGAATAACTGTCTATTGGGTCTCTGTTTGAACAAAAACAATTCCAGGCCCTGTGGTTATAGAAATAAGTAGAACACGGGTCTCCATTCGTTCTTTTGGAATTTGCAGTCCTGTGGATAAGTTCATCAATCATATAAATGTGATGCCTGTTATGAAAGGGAAGGAAGAGAAACTTACAAAAACAGGGCCGTCTAACCCATTCTAGAAAACCAGGAAAGGTCTTCCTAAAGAAATGGCCTTTCAGCTAACCACCACAGGAAGAGAAAGAACTTGTTAGACTAAAGGGCAAGGAAGGGCAGGACACTTCAAGGGGAGGGTAGGATGCCAGGAGTTACATGAATAAAAGAAAGAAATTTATAATTCTCATTCTTTGTATAAATAACCCTTCTCGAGGGGCGCCTGGGTGGCGCAGTCAGTTAACCGTCCGACTTCAGCCAGGTCACGATCTCACGGTCCGTAAGTTCGAGCCCCGCGTCAGGCTCTGGGCTGATGGCTCAGAGCCTGGAGCCTGTTTCCGATTCTGTGTCTCTCTCTCTCTCTCTCTCTGCCCCTCCCCCGTTCATGCTCTGTCTCTCTCTGTCCCAAAAATAAAAAAAAAGAAAAGAAAAGAAAAAAAACGTTGAAATAACCCTTCTCGTTCACTTAAAGATAAAATTTAAGCCTCAGTATATAGATTTTCTACCGATACATCTGGTTTGTGCCATTTGAACTTATTTTAGTTATTTTGAGAACACTTTTCAGTGTTATTTTATATTCTTTCACTAATCCTCCCAGATAGCATGCTCCTAGAATTTTGTGCAACTTATTCCAGTTACTTCTGCAGATAAGAGAAATCAAGGAGGAAGCAGTCTTAAGTCAAGCCCATGTAGTAAATGTGAAGTGTTAGAAGAGTTCCTTAAAGGACAACAACAACAGAAATACCTGCTACCTCTGCATCTAACAACATTGCACAGCTACTTAAAGTTGTAATGAAATAAAAGATACAAGAATTTGTAAAGAAATAAAACTATTGTTATAGTTTATATCAGTTCCTATATAGAAAGCACTGAATAAACCCTAGACAATTTTCAGAAATACCTAAAGAATATGGTTAACTTAAAAAATAATACATTTCATGTTTAGATAAATTTTAGGTTTACAAAAACGTTGAGCAGATAATACAAGTAGTTCCCATATACTACATTGCCCACCACCACCTCATGTAAACACTCATAGTCTCTCCTTCTATTAAGATCTTGCATTAGTGGGATCTGTTTGATACAATAGCTGTGCCAGTGTTGGTATGTTAATTCTAACTAAAGTGCACACTTACAATAGGGTGCACTCTTTGTGCTGTAGTTTTATGGGTTTGACAAATGCATGATGTCAAGCAGCATTACAGTATCATCAGAATAGTTTTATTCTATTATATTGTATTCTAAAAATATTGTGTTATACTTCATCATCCCTCTTCTCCTCCATAACCCCCAGAAACTACTGATCATTCTAATTTCTTTGTAATTTTGCTTTTCTGGAGTGTCATAGAGTTGGAACCATACCATACGTATATAGCCATTTCAAACTGCCTTCTTGCACTTAGCGATGTGCATTTAAGGTTCCTCCATCTTGTTGCATGCCTTGATGGCTCATTTCTTTCTTTACTGAGTAATATTCTGTGTATGTATGGGCCACTGTGTGTCTACCCATTCACCTATTGGAGCCTTATTGGTTGCATACAGTTTGGAGCAGTTATGAATAAGGATGGTATAAAAATTCATGGGCATGTTTCTATGTGGGCAAAGATTTTCAATTCATTTGGATAAGTACCCAGGAGTATAATCGCTGATCATATGGTGAGACCATAGTTAGTTTTGTAAGAAACTGCCGAACTGTCCTTATCCTTGGCATTACTCCCGGTAATAATTTAAAGTTCCTGTTGCTCTCCAACCTCACCAGCATTTAGTGTTGTCAGTATTTTGGATTGTAACCATTCTAATAGATGTGTAGTGGGATCTGATCACTGTTTTAATTTGCAATTCCCTAATGATACGTTATACTGATTATATTTTCATATGCTATTTGCCATCTGTACATCTTCTTTGGTGAGATGTCTGTTTGGATCTTTCGACTAATGTTTTTGTTTTTTTTTTTAATCTTTTTAATATTTATTTATTTTTGAGAGAGACAGAGCATCAGTGGGGGAGGGGCAGAGTTAGGGGGACACAGAGAATCTGAAGCAGGCTCCGAGCTCTCAGCACAGAGCCCAACACAGAGCACGAACTCACAGACCACGAGGTCATGACCTGAACCGAAGTCAGAAGCCCAACCGACTGAACCACCTAGACGCCCTGTTTTGACTAACTTTTAATTGAGTTGCTGTTTTAAGAGCTTTTTTTATAAAGAGTTCTTTATATATTTTAGATACAAGTCTTTTATCAGATATGTTTTCCAGTATGTTCTCCTAGTCTGTGACTTGTCTTCTTATTCTTTTTACAGTGTCTTTTGCAGAGCAAAAGTTTTAATTTTAATAAAGTCCAATTTATCAATTATTTTTTTTCTTTTATTGTGCTTTTGGTGTTGTATCAGAAATATCATTTCCAGGGGAACCTGGGTGGCTCAGTTGATTAAGCATCTGACTGTGGTTCAGGTCACGATCTCCTAGTCTGTGAGTTTGAGCCCTGCGTCGGGCTGTGCTGACAGCTCAGAGCCTGGAACCTGCTTCAGATTCTGTGTCTCCCTCTCTCTCTGCCCCTCCCCCACTCACACTCTGTCTCTCTCTCTCTCTCTCTGTCTCTCAAAAACAAATAAAAACTAACTAACTAACTAAATAAATAAATAAATAAAATTTCTAAACCCAGGATCACTTAGTTTTCCTTCTATGTTCTAAAAGTTTAATAATTTTCCATTTTCAATTAGGTCTATGATCAATTTTGAGTTAGTTTTTATTAAAAGTGTAAAGTCAGTGTCTAGATTCACTTTATTTGCATGTGGAAGTTCAGTTCCAGCACCGTTTGATGAAAAGACCATTTTTTTCTTCATTGCCTTTGCTCTTTGCCAAAGATCAGTTGACTTATATGTGTGGGTCAATTTCTAGGCTCTTTATTCTGTTTCACTGTCCTTTCTTTTTATTTGTAAACCAATATCACACTGTCTTGATTACTGAAGTTTTATACTAAGTCTTGATATCAGATAGTGCCAGTTTTCTGACTTTATTCTTCTTCAGTTTTGTGTTTTCAGGGTCTCTTACTCTTCCATACAAAGTTTAGAATTAGTTTGCCCGTTCCTTCAAAAGAAATTGGTAGGATTTTGATTGTGATGGTGTTGAATCTACAGATCATTTGGGAAGAACTAATATGTTAACACCATCGAGTCTTAATATTCATGAACATGAAACTCTCATCATTTATTTAGGTCTTTGATTTCTTTAATCCCAGTTAGGTTTTTGTTTGTTTGTTTGTTTTTACTTTTACTCATATAGATCTTAGGCATAAACTGTAGTCCAAGTGAGAGGCTATAACAACATACCATAGATTGAGTGGCTTATAAGCAGCAGAAAATTACAGCTCACAGTTCTGGAGACTGGAAGTCTGAGATCATGGAGTCAGTATGGTTTGGTGAGTCACAGACTTCGCATGTATCTTCACATGGCAAAAGGGCTAAGATCTCTGTGGGATACTGATCCCATTTGTGAAGGCACCACCCTCATGACCTCAAGCACCTCCCAAAGGCCTCATCTTCTATTACCATCATTTTTGGGGGTTAGGATTTTAATATATGAATTATAGGGGGAGATAAATATTCAGACCATAGTCATATATTTTAATAGATTTCGTCCTAAATATTCCTTTTATTTTTGGTACTGTTTATGATATTGTGTTTTTAATTCCAAATTCCAAATGTTTGTAACTGATATATAGGAAAACAATTGACTTTTGTATACTAGCTTTGTATCTTCCAGTTTTGCTATAATCACTCATTAGTCCAGGATTACTTTGTTAATTCTTTGATATTTTATACAGAGAATAATATCACCTGAAAGAAAAGAGTTATATTTTTCCTTCCCAATCGGTGTGTCTTTTATTTCCTTTTCTTGTCTTAAAACTGAGACTGTCAGTCTAATGTTGACAAGGAGTGCTGAAGGCAAACATGATTGCCTTTTCCCCAGTCTTTAGGAGAAAAGCATCTAGTTCCTCATCAGTAAGTATGATGTTAGCTGTAAGCTTTTTTCTAGATGTTTATCAAATTGAAGAAGTTCCCTCTATTCCTAGTTTGCTGGAAGTTTTTATTATGAATGAGTGTTGGATTTTATGAACTGCTTTTCTTTGCTTTTTCTGCACCTATTGATATGATCATATGATTTTTCTTTAGCCTTTTAATGTGAAGGATTACATTAAGTGATTTTCAGTGGAACCAGCTTCTCATGCCTGTAGGGTAAATCCCACTTTGTCGTAGTGAATAATTCTTCTTACACA